TTTAGACAGACTGTTACACATATGCCCATATATGTTCCGTTCAGTCACTCAGTCGTGTCCAACTCTTTGTGACCCCACGGACCGCAGCATGCCAGGCCTCCCTGTCCATCACCAACTCCCAGAGTTTACTCAAACTCGTGTCCATTGAGTTGGTGATGCCATCCAACCATCTCATCCTCTGTCGTCCCCTTCTCCTCCTGCCTTCAATCTTTCCCAGCATCACGGTCTTTTCAAATCGGACTGATTTCCTTTAGGATAGACTTGGGTATGGCATAAGCCCTCTTGGAGGAGGTTGCCATTAACCCCACCAGAGAGCTGCCAGAACTTACACAGGACTGAGAAATAGACTCTTGGAGGGCACAAACAGAACCTTGTGCACCAGGACCCCAGAGAAAGGAGCAGGGACCCCACAAGAGACTGACCCAGACTTGCCCGGGAGTGTCCAGGAGTCTCCAGTGGAGCTGTGGGTGGATGGTGGCCTGCAGCAGGGTTGGGGGCAGAGTGTAGCAGTACATGCATAGTATCTTTTGAAGGAGGTCGCCATTATCTTCATTACCTCCACCATTGTTTGGCCCCAGGTAAATAGCAAGGAGGGAACACAGTTCCACCCATCAATAGAAAATTGGATTAAAGATTTACTGAGCATGGCCCCGCCCATCAGAATAAGACCCAGTGGCCCTCAGTCAGTCTCTCCCACCAGGAAGCTTCCATAAGCCTCTTATCCTTCTCCATCAGAGGGTAGACAGACTGATAACCACAATCCCAGAAAACTAACCAATCTGATCACACGGACCACAGCCTTGAAACTATGAAACTATGAGCTATGCCGTGTGGTGCCACCCAAGACGGATGGGTCATGTTGGAGAGTTCTGACAAAATGTGGTGCACTGGAGAAGGGAATGGCAAGCCACTTCAGTATTCTTGCCTTGAGAACCCTATGAACAGTCCATATATGTACACATATATTTTCTTGCTTATCAGCTGAGAGGGTCTAGAAGAATAACACCCCCATGACAACAAGCATACCTAGTGCCCAAATCTTGGTTTCTAACAGAATTCTCCGATAAAAGGAACCAAAGCTCCTTTAAGGAGTGACTGACTCTTGGACTGGGAAAGGAAATATGGAAGATGAGCCTGAAGTACCTTGCAGTGCCATAAAGAAAGAAAATGACACACAAAAAAACCCCAGAAAAAAAAAAAATCCCAGAATGATGGGGATATGTTAAAGGAATAGATGGAACGAAATGAAAGAGCTTACAAAGGCCATACCTAAAACAATTTAAGCAACAAAATAAAGTGGTACTGCGTTATAATCCAAAGTAAAGATAACTATCCATGAGTCCATAATGACAGAGATAACAAAAAAAACTTGACCATTAATAACTTTTGTATAGTCACTTTTCTTAATGTCTTGAAATTTTGCAAAGTAAAACATTTATATGTCTTTATACATATACACATAAGTGTGTATTGATATATATATATATATGAAGTGAAGTGAAAGTGGCTCAGTCGTGACTCTTTGCGACCCCATGGACTGTATAGTCCACGGAATTCTCCAGGCCAGAATACTGGAGTGGGTAGCCTTTCCCTTCTCCGGGGGACCTTCCCAACCCAGGGATCGATCCCAGGTCTCCAGGGATCGACCAGGTCTCCATCATTGCAGGCAGATTCTTCACCAGCTGAGCCACAAGGGAAGTCAGTCAGTCAGTCAGTCAGTCTGTCAGTCAGTCTGTCTGTGTACATATATATATCACCCAACAACCAAATGCTCCTTTGACTCTGTATGTAGGTTGGTTTCCAGGGGTCATTACATGATTAAGTCCTCAACTAATTCTTGTCTATGGAATCCCAGGACACAGATTTGAGTAGTCTGTACTTATGGGTTGTGTTATTTGTATATATTAACTGTTTTCTCCTCACTTCTGCTTCCTCCTCATAATTTAACACAAGATTCACTGGAGATCAACTTTACAAACTAGCCTGCAGAAAACAGAATGCTCACATGGAAATGCCTGCTGCAGGCTATGTACAGACACAGAACATCAGAAGGGTGAACTGCCGCACTGAAGTTGGGCTTCTGGCTCCAAGTCCACTCTCTACACTCCAGTGGTTCTCAGCCAGAGCCTGAGATATTTGGCAATGTCTGGGGAAACCTAGCACCACCAGAATCTTTTGGTAGTGTCTGGAAATGTTTTTGGTTGCCACGACCAGGAATCCTGCTAACACCTGCTAGGGAGAGGCCAGGGATGTTGCTAAATCCCCTACAATGCACAGAACAGCCCCCAACAATGAAGAATTATCTGGCTCAAAATGTCAACAGTGCCAAGTTTGAGAAACTCTGTTCTGTAACACTGGGGCTGGGACTCTACATGTAACATTCTTCAAACCCTTGAACAACAAGGCAGGTAGAAATGCCAACCTCCCAGGCAGTTGGAAAATCCACTTATATCCCTCCATATCTTCAGTACCTCTGTACAGCAGGGTTCAACCAGTTGTAGATTTTGCTGTACTGTAGTATTTACTGTTGAAAAAAAATTTGCAAATTAACAGACCTGTGCATGCAGTTCAAATCTGTGTTTTTCAAGGGTTAGCTATACTGATAACTGAAACAACTTGGATGAACAGGGAAACACATACGAAAAAGTCTTCAGTCTCAATAATTACTACAGAGATGCAAATAAAAATAAGCTACTATTTTCCAACTCTTGAAAAGTGAAAGTGTAAGTTGCTCAGTGGTGCCCGATTCTTTGTGATCCCATGGGCCCACCAGGTTCCTCTGTCCATGTAATTCTCCAGGCAAGAATACTAGAGTGTGTTGCCATTCCATCTTCTCCAAATTTTCCCCACCCAGAGATCCAACTTTTGGTCTCCTACATTGCAGGCAGAATTTTTACTGTCTGAGCCACCAGGAAAGCCCTTAAAAATCTTTACACCCTTTGGCCAATAATCCCACTTTTTCTAAGAATAAAAATCCTAAAGAAATAATAAATCGGGTGAAAAACTAGGCATTTCCTAAAGTAAACTCCAAACAACGCTACAATACAGATATAAACCACAGTATATAGAAACAAGTACAAAGGACAAATTAAATGTGTATATTAAAAAAAAAAAACTTAAAAGAAATGCATTATAGAACTTAAGATTTAAGTTTGACTTTGAAGACTAAGACTTCAGGGGCCCAAAAGCTAAAATATCTCATGCAGAAAGCTGAAGTCTAAAGAAACTACAACATGTATTTGTTTTCTGTTTTTCAAACAGAATAGTAGGTAGGATGGTTGGTTACAAGGAATACACACATCTGGTTAAGGTTAGTAGAACTGATTAATTCTATGAGGACAGGCTGGGGTTACGACCCTGAGGGTGAGAATTAACTCACTCTACAAGCAAAAGGAAGCTAGTGTTTTTAAGCAAATATACCTTAGAAAGGAAATCCTAGGAACAATGTATAAAATGATTTGGGACAGAGGGAAATAAAATCTAGAACCAGGGAGCCAGTTAGAAAAAAAAAAAATTCCATTAAGAGGCATTCACGGTTTGCAATAGAGCTGTGAAAGTGAGTGGTAAGGAGAATCAGAGGCAGAACTGCCAGCACTTGTCAGCTTGACCAGATACCGGACCCTGAGGGAGAAAGGAGGAATAAAAACACTCAGTTAAGTCTTATTGACAGTAAAGAATACTTCCAAATGTAGGGTGTGCAGGTTCAATCTCTGGTCCAAAACTAAGATTCCACATGCCTCATGGCCAAAAACCCAAAACACAGAACAGAAGCAATATTGTAACAAATTCAATAAAACTTTAAAAATGGAAGGGGGGGAAGGGTTCTTTAAAAATAAAACAAGTAAAAAAACACATAGATTTACCATATGACCCAGCAATTCCACTCCTAGATATGTATAGCCCAAAGAATCAAAAACGGAGACTCATGCAGACACATGTAAACACATGTTCACAGCAGTGTTATTCACAGCAGGCAAAAATGGCAGCAACCTAAGTGTCCATCAATGGATAAACAAATTGTGATATAGCTGCTCAGCTATATGTATGTATCCAGCCATACAAAGGAACGAAGTCTGAGATACACTACAGCATGGATGAATCTTGAAAAATTGAAGGGAAATAAGCTGAACAGGGAAAATATTGTATGATTTCAATTCTGTGAAGCATCTAGAATAAACAAATTCAGAGACAGAAGGGACTGGGGGGAGAGCAAGTGGGGAGGTATTGCTTAATGGTTAGACTTTGTGTTTAGGGTAAAAAAACTTTTGGAAATAATGGTTATGGTGACACAATATTGTGAATGTACTTAATACCTGAGTTGTATACTTTAAAAACCGTTAGAACAATAAACTTCAAGTTATGTGTACTTTACCACAATAACAAGAGACTAAAAAAGAAAAGTGAAGATAGAACTCATGCAAAGAACAGCAGAGGAACTTTCGAGAGAAGGCAGGAAGAGCGTGGGCTATTTCATAATGTTTAATTTGGAAAACCTCAGCTGATAGATACTGAGGGTAGAGAGGTTTTCTGGTTTCGACTTTTTCTCAAGGCAGAGTAGAACTTAACATATGGTATTTATCTAGGTAAGAGCAAAGAACTGAGAGGAGTTAAAGGGGGCGGGGGAAGGTCTGGCTTGTTATTTCGGGGGACAAAACTACCACCACACTATTTTACTGGTATTTTATTGGTGCACGGCAGCGTGAGAAGCATTTCAAAGTTATAATTTCATCTTATATTTGGAAAACCAACCAACCGACTGCTTTCCTAACACAGTAAAAAGGCACGCAGGAGGAAATATCTTCGATGAGAAAAAATACACGAAGCTCTTCCATCACAAGCATATTCAAATTCCTTAAAGGGTGAAATCAACCCGAAATGGAGGAGGGTGGGGGCTCGATATTACTGTATTTAAACCACACGTATGTTAAGAGCTTGGGCAACTGTACAAGGAACCCAATTTCTTCAACAAGTGCACTCCAAAAAAACAGAAAAGGCAAACTTCAGATGCTCACCCACCGAATGCCCTGCGAGGACCCGGTCAAAGCCTGAGTGGCACAGCCCAACCATGAAGAAAGCAAAATTGTGTTTTTCTTCAAAAATCTTTCAAGGAACTGTTGCACACTGCTCGAATACTGTGGGAACCGAGAGCTGGGTCCCAGGGGGTGCACTACTCCAATCGCTCCGGTGTCTAGACGTTTGCGATTCGCCGCAGTCGTTTCTGGGGCACCGCTTTCTCTCAGAGGCGGCCGCAACCCCCGGGACCGCGTTTTCTCAGACGCGCCGGCGGGGCCGGGGGTGGCTCCTCGCGCCGCCCGCCGCTCCCACAGGGCCCGGTGTCTCCTCAGGCCACCCCCGGCCCCACGCCGGGTCTGCGGCCCGATACCCCGCGGAAGCAGGCGGCGGCTGAGGCGGAGGAAGCCACCGGAGCTCGCACCTTCGGGGCACCCGGGGCCGCGGCCGCTCGCCTGAGGCGCTGAGGAGGCGGACGGAGGCCGCGCGGGCTCACAAGCCGCCGGACCGCCGCTACTCACCCCGACGCCGTCAGCGCAGCACCCCGGCCTCTCGGGACTCGGGCTGGAGCATCCTCCCTCCCGCCGCGGCCCGACTCCGAGCCGCATTCGCCGCCGCAGCGGGCGGAGCCGCCTGGCAGGAAACGCAGCCCCGGGCACACAGGGGCTTCTCCCCCCCACCCCCACCTCGGGCTCAACCCGTGCCCGCGCCGCAGCCTCGGCCCGAGCGCGCGCCCGCGAGCGCCACGTGACCAGCGGGCCCCGGCCCCGCGCTGACGTCACCACCCGCTGCGGGCGAGCCGCGGCCCAGCCCCTGCCGGTGGGCTGGGGGAGGGGGTCAGTCCTGCTGGCTGCGGGTTCTTAACTCTTGTATACATGGGCTCATTAAGGACAGGTGTCTTAAACATATTAAAAGATGTGCGGTCCCAGTTATGATGGGTTAAAAATGTCAAGGCTGGGCAAAAGCTTGGGTTAAAATCTCAGGAGCGAGTGACAAGAGTGGAAAAGTAGAGCACACCTGCAAAACAGCAGCAGCAAGGCACTTGGGGAGGCGGGCGCGGAGCTTACTAGAAATGCTGACTCCAGCCACAGAGCGGTGAGCCAAGGGTGTTGCAGTCCTCAAGCCATCACATTGCAGTGAGTCCTGCCGCAGCCCCCAGCCACCTCGCCACCCCCAAACTCTGCACTCCGCCGTTGGGAAGGAATAGGATTCTGGCTCTGGTTTTTGGCTAGGCTGCATATCAGAGGAATGATCTCAGTAAGCCCGGACTCTTGCATCTTCCCGTGCATAGAAAAGCACTAAATTCCTTTCCTTGCAATATCTGATTTTCTTTAACCTTTAAAGTTCCTACTGTCTGACCTTCATTGCAGAAATTCTTATGTATCCTGGCTCCTCCCTTACCTCTTCAGAGCAGTCTCTCAGAGCTATCTGAGAGGCTGCATTCCAGGCTTAAGTCCTTGGTTTTGTCCACTGAATAAATGGTAATACTTAACGTGTAGGTTATGCATTTTTTTTTCAATCAACAGGCCCCACGCCAGACCAACTTAGTAATCAAAATATACGTTTTACCGAGATCTCCAGATGATTTATGTATAAAAAGTTCGAGATCAGTATCCAGGGTACAGTCAGTGCAGGAGACCTGCCAGTGCTCCACCCTCAACCCTTGATGGTATTTAAATATTTGTCCTGATGGGCCTGGAGCAGATCTGTTTCTAGCTCTTACTTCAGATGGGTTCATCCTGCCCCATCAAATTAACATACAACCATACCATTCTAGAAGTTGAAGTTTTCGGTAACTTCAACTGGTGGTGGTTTTGTCACTAAGTCATGTCCGACTCTTGTGAGCCCATGGACTATAGCCCCCACCAGGCTCCTTTGTCCGTGGGACTCTCCACGCAAGAATACTGCAGTGGTTTGCCATTTCCTTCTCCAGGGGATCTTCCCAACCCAGGAATCGAACCCAGGTCTCCTGCATTGCAGACAGATTCTTTACCAACTGAGCTACAGGGAAGCTCCAATTTTTTACCATTAGAATGACATGAAAATACTTTTTACAGTATGGCATTTAAACCCAGGGTCTTGGAGGCTGGATGAATTAAGCTAGCATATGGGCTGTGTTCATTTATCCATAGATAGAGGATGAGATGGCTGGATGGCATCACTGACTCGATGGACATGAGTTTGAGTAGACTCCAGGAGTTGGTGATGGACAGGGAGGCCTGGCGTGCTGCGATTCATGGGGTTGCAAAGAGTCGGACACGACTGAGCAACTGAACTGAACTGATAGTTGCCAGAGGAAATACAGGAGGCCTAAAATTTAAATTTCAGTTAAAAGAAAGCAATTCATTTGTATATCCCAAGGAATGCGTGGGACATACTTATACTATTATTATTGTTTATCCAAAATTCAAATTCACCTGGGCATCCTGTACTTTTTTTTTTTTTTTTGCTGTGCAGCATGTATCTTAGGTCTCTGACCAGGAACAGAACCCCTGTGCCCCTCACAGTGGGAGCTCAGAGTTTTACCCACTGAGCCATCAGGGAAGTCCCTATCTTGTACTTTTATTTGCTAAATCTGGCAATGCTAACCCTGGAGAAGTTCTAACTTTAGGTTTCTGGTTTATGAAATGGCAGTAACAACAGGAACTATTTAGTATCTTAGAAAGTCGTGTGGATGAAATGAGATCATCTATGCAGAGTACTTACCAAGGGGCATGAAACAGCATGAGGGCTCAGTAAATGTTGGCTCTTTTTTTATTTCGTATCTGTGTGTCTTAGGTAAATTCCTGGAAGTATGCTTTTCTTACAGAATTCTCTGGCTAATTTAAGGCTTAAATGAACGGCTACCCACTCCAGTATTCTGGCCTGGAGAATTCCAAGGACAGAGGAGCCTGGCAGGCTACAGTCCATGGGGTCGCAGAAAGTCAGACACGACTGAGCGACTTTCACTGAGCTTTTGGTCATACCCAAAACAGTTCTGTGACAAGCACTGTGCAGGTGAGCAGATTCTTCTCAACTAGCTCCAGAATACAAATCAAATTTTAAAATTTCTATACAAAAACCCAAATTGCCACCTACGGGCAAGTATAGATTTCCTTTCAATCACACCAAACACTAGGATGTTGATTCTGATTTGTTTTCTCTACCAGAGTTAGCTGAAATAATATTCAAGAGGAAACTGTTTAGGCAACTTCTACATCATTTCTAAGACTCATTCATGTTATTTAGTACCTGAACTAAATTGCATTAAAAAAACTGAGACAATATTAGGCCCATGGCTCTAAGAAAAAGAACATTCCCCCCCCCACCTTGGTTCAATGTTGGTATTTACATCTTTCTTTATGCTTACCAAACAAGAAGATTCTCTGAATTTATACTACAATTCTCTTTTTGCCTTTGGCTACATAACTTTTATTTTGTATATTACTCTAACTTTAATAGATTCATTGATTTATTACAATTGATTTTTATTACTTTCTAGAAGCAGCTAAGGTATAAATATGTGCCAAGAATATAATAATAATATGGCTATTACTTTGTTCTGCCAGATTGACTTTGTAAAAGCTCAATCAAGTCACCCTAACCACCTGTAACAAACATGTGTGTTGTGTGTGCTCCGTCGTGTCTGACACTCTGCGACCCCATGGATTGTAGCCTCCCAGGCTCCTCTGCCCATAGAATTTTCCAGGCAGGAGTTCTGGAGTGGGTTGCCATTACCTACCCCAGGGGATCTTCCTGACCCAGGGATTGAACCTGCATCTCCTGCATTGGCAGGTGGATTCCTTACCACTAGCACCACCTGGGAAGCCCTGTACCATATGGGCACAGGTTTTCCCCATCTCTTTCTAGCTATAGATTTTATAGAGTATTTTGTCAAACACCATGGGTTTAAAGACATTATAAACTGGTTCTTTTTTTTTTTTACACTGTATATATTATTTCAAAGAACACGAGCTCCATGAAGGGACAGATGTTTACCTGCGCCATTGTTTGCTGTGTCCCAGCACCTTAGACACACATGGCCTGAGCTGACCATTCAGTTGTTGATAGAATGATAGATAAGTTGTTTCCTGCTATATAAAACTATATTTTCTCCAGCAGAAGCTATGTTTAGTGATTCTAAGTCTTCTCCTTTCTACTCCTTTCAGTGTGTGCCTTCCCTCATTTTCTCATTCTCTTTGTTTTTGAATTAAATATATTTTCACTTTTCTAGCTGCGTGCACCATGGTGAATGCCACCGCCATCCCCCTAGCCTGATAGAAGTCCTTTAAGACACCCGGGAGTGTGTCCACCCGGCATAGATATGGAAGCTCGTTACTTCTTCCCCAGTCCCAGCTAAACAGTTCTCAAGTCACATCAAACACAGATTATCGACGAGGCGTGCGGGCCAAGGAGTGTCAGGAGAGCTGTAGGCCAGAGCCTTAGGAGGGAACAGGCAGGAAAAAGGCAAAATCAGAAGCCAGGAAGAGGGAATGTCTCCGATTAACTGAAGGGCTGGCAGGAACAAATGGGGAGGCTGGGCTGGAGAGCTGGGTCATCCAGGCAAGTGGCTGGACATTAAAAACTCAGGAAACCAATCAAGCAAGGCATAAGGATCAGAATCTGCACCAGCAGCAAAAAAGGAGCTCAATACAGTTGAGCCAAAATTAATATGGGCCAACCACGGCTCTCTGAGAATGTCTTTCTGGGGAGGTCACTGGCCCCAGTCACCTATCTGCAGTAGGAATTGAGTTGACCATGAGTGGAGCACTCCTTTTATGGTCTACCAGGGCGAAGTAGGCTTGGCAAATGCGCTGTGCTCAGTCATGTCCGACTCTTTGTGGCCCCATGGACTGTAGGCCACCAGGCTCTTCTGTCCACAGAATTTTCCAGGCAAGAATACTGGAGTGGGTTGCCATTTCCTACGATCTTCCCTACCCAGGGACTGAGCCTGCATCTCTTTAAGTCTCCTGCTTTGGCAGGTGAGTTCTTTACCACTAGTGCCACCTGAGGCTTGGCAAATAATTGGAAATGATACACTGCATCTCAATTTTGATAGTCTAAACTGTGTAACAACATGCACTTCCAATGTTCAAGGTCTTGCCACTCCATAAGGGGCGAGAAACTAAGTACCCAGAGCCATCATTAAAGGGAGGAAAAAAGGCAATTCTGGTGTCAACCATTCTGGTTGTATTTATTATTGTATTTCACATAATTTCATAATGGTCCAAACTTGTCCCTTCTCTATGTTGAAGGACTAGGGGACTTTTTAACCCTTTTTTAATGAAAACGACTGGTGTTCCTCTCATGAGATTGTCTCAGATGCCTCCAATTCTGGGAAGATAGTATCCAAATACCACTGAAATGACTTGCAACCCAATCGTTTCCTTAACTCAACACGCTCACTAATGTTTCCATAGGCAGCAGACTTCAGAGCGGGTCTTCGTAGAAAAAACTGTTCCTAAATGGAAAGAATCATTTCATGAAACCAAACAAATCTTTGTTCATCAAGTCATGATATCTAACAGAGCAGAATCTAATTTCATCATCTAACAGAGCAGTATATATTTTCATCATCTGAACTAAAACAAAACAGTCAACAATAAACTTTTTCCTCTGTGTGGGGAGG